TTCCTTCCTCAGTCTCCTCTGCAGCTTCTTCTCTCTGCTCTGCTCCATCCTCCCTTGGGTGGGGCAGGAAACCTGGAACCACCCCCTTTCCTGGGGGCCCCCGTGTTACACGTCGACATGATCAAGGCCGCAGGTGAGGGCCACAGAGGCCAGCGGTGCAAAAAGCCTGATTCATTCATTCACCCTACATTGTCACAGGGTTAGACTCGAGGCTGAAGATGAGTGGCCCCTGGGGATTCCTGTCCAGCGTGTAGACTATAGTTGACGATACCGTGTTGTATATTTAACAGCTATGATGAGAGTGGATTTTATTTTATTTTTTAAAGATTTATTTATTTTTATACAAGAGCTGGGGTACAGGCCAGAGGTGCAGGAGGGTGAGAGGATTCACCAGAGACAGAGCGGGGAACAGAACAGGCAGACGAACCAAAGTACATCGCTGAGGGGAGCAGTGGGCGAGACAGGAGAGGGCTGCCGCACCAAGTGGGTTGCTCCCTGACCGGCTGGGATTGAAACTGCGCTGCAGACAGCTTCACAGCACTGCACTCAATCCGCTGTACCACCGGGGAGGCCCAGAGAGTGAATTTGAAATGCTGTCAACGTAACAACAAAATGGTAATCCTATGAGGTGAAGGACATGTTAACTAACCGATGTAAACATCTCACGACATAACATTCACACACCGAGTCACCACATTGTACACCTGAAACTTACACGACGCCAGCCGTCCATCACATCTCAATGAGGCAGAGAAGGGCTGCCACTTGGGAAGCTGCCCTTTGCCACTGTCCTTCAGGGTCCCCCTGCACGTCGCCATGATGCCGCCGCAGCTGGTGAGCACAGGTCGTGCAGAGTTGTCTGTAAACCGGGCTGGAGTGACTTCCTCCTCTGTCCGGACTTCCTTCTTCACTGCCTCGCCATCCACGAGCGATGACATCGTCCTGACCGAATCTGATGAGCAAGAAGCAGAAAGTCCTACAGATGCTTTCCTAAGACATATGCAAACCAGAAGGGGGGACATACACCCCTTGAAAACACAGTGTTAACCTCAGTGAAGTTTCTAGAAGTTCAGGGCAGTAAAGCATGTAAAGTCGCTCACTCCTGCACTATGGCCAGAGGAGGAAAGACGAGGTGACCCTTAGGGCAGAATGTGAAGGACTTTCTCTCGGCCGGCCAGGTGAACAAACTGCTTCCAGGAGACTTTGCAAATCGTGGAGAGTCAAATATTTGTCAGCTCATGCCCGGGGCCAGGGGCTGAGCCGCGTGGCTTCGCCTGACACCACACACGGCTGTGGCCTGATGAGCTACACTGACCCGGTCTCTCTCCGAGACCCGTGCGCCTCGGCACAGGTTCAGGCATGTGGCGGGAATCTGATCATTTTAACTTCCAGTCAGGATGAACGGCACCCCGCCAGGGCCATGGAGGTGTGCCCTGCCCGCCTTTTCGTCCAGTGTGACCCTGGGGGACGCTCTTGGCTTCTGGAAATCAGGGGGGCTTCGCCAAATGAAAGGGGTGACAGCAGGTCGTTTTGAACAGCCGTGCTGCCTCTGTTCCTTCTGTTACATGCCCCAAGCTGTTTGAGGCCACAGGCTGCAGAGCCTACATTCCATGCTGCTGTTGTCTAAGTGTATATACATAGCTGTTTCCCCACGCTCTGTGCGTTTGAATATATTGCCCTATTTAATGACCTTTTTCATTATTAGCAATAAAAAAAAAATCTCAAGGATGTATTATTCATTTCTTCTTATTCTTCTTTTCCGGCTTGCTTTTCAAAATTTCTCCAAGATTTTTTTTTTTTTTTTTTTTTGTGGGACCCTCGCCCGTGGCCGGGGATCAAACTGGCGCTGCAGAGGTTGCGGGCAGCCTTGCAACCCAGCGCTCAACCGCTGCACCACCAGGAGAGGCCCTCTTTTTTTCTTTTAAGATTTATTTTATTTATTTATGCATTCAAGAAGAGGGGTGCAGGCCAGAGGTGCGGGGGTGAGATGATTTACCAGAGACAGAGTGAGGAGCAGAACAGGGGGAGCCACTGAAATCCACTGCTGAGGGGAGCAGCGGGGAGGCAGGAGAGGTCTGCTGCGCCATGTGGGTAGCTCCCTGGTCGGGGATGGAACTCGTGCTGCAGTGGCTGCCGATAGCTTCACAGTGCTGAGACTTAACCCCTTGTGCCACCAGGGAGGCCCCCACGCCCCATTTTCTCCAAGATCTTTTCTGGAGTTGGGGAAACCAAAAGTCTCTTTCACAGATTTCCTGCCCTGGAGCAAAGCCCATCCCTCTTGCTGAATCTCAAGGGCTTGGACAGAAAGTGACTGAGTTCCCCTGCCACAGCCGCGCTGAGGCTCAGCTGTCCGATCTGCTCCCCTTCCTTGCTCTGGCTCTTACTTCTTCTAGAATAGCCCTCAAAAGTCTCTCATATGTAGCTGTGGGTCTGACTGTGCTGAAGGTCATCGCTACGCGTGACTGTGCGGGTGCCCGGATCCCAGGGCAGGCTGCATCCCAGGCTCACCGCATTTCTCGCGGCAGGGCCAGTGCAGTGGGTGCACAGTGGGACCCGGAAACTTAATGGTGGTTTCCAGCCAACGATGCAGACCAACCTACGCATCTCCAAAGTCTCTTTCAGAACATGATTCTTGACTTCCTGACCCCGCTGGTCTTCCCACATTTAGTCAGGAAGCAAAAAGGAGGCCAGTCCCCCCCGCACCCCCACACATACCTTTTCAGGGAGCAGGCCCAGCAGGCCCCAGCTCAGTCTCCAGAGCAAACTCTAGAGGCCCCGAAAGCCCCACAGTGGTGTGCTTTATTTCCTGCCGGCACCTGCAACACGGCGTTTGCATGGCACCGTTGGGGGTGGTCCATGGCATCACACACGCGTCCAAACGCAGGGAGCACCCTGGCCCAAGACAGCGGTGGACCACGGTCGATGATCACAGCTCACTGCTAGCTCGCCCACTACGTGTCAACCACGGCTCTCCTGAGGGCAGCCAGGGTGGCGCCTCGGGACCTAAAATCACCCTGAAAAGCAAAGTCCACGAGGTGTTTGAACATCCAGGGGACCAGATGACGGCATGTCCTGTTTTGTTCCTGCTCCGTCACCCGCAGTCACCAGCTGCGCATGGAGGTCTCCGCGTGGGCGGCGAGGCGTGCAGGCGGTGAAAGGCCCTGCTGCTTTTCCCACACACAGCCCAGAGCCCTCCACTCATGCCACTGGCCAGACGCTCGCCCCGGCCTCCAGATGCCAAGGGGCCGGGGAGCGGAGCTCAGCTGAGCAGCCGTCCCTTGCTACGCTGCGGTGGACACACGGGTTGGGGACAACCGGCCAGCAGGCAGCCACGGGTGGCTGTTGGGAGCCGACCCCGGTCTCCTAGGCGTTTGCTGTAAATAGGAGCAGAGAAGCGGGGCCAGAGCTGGCGTGGGGGAAGGCGGCTAGTGCCCCGGCTCCGCAGCAGTTTCTCCGCCAACAGGACGGACCCCCGGGAATGCAGAATAACCTGAGAATGGGCTAAACAGCGCCAGGGGGCAGGGCGGACCCCAGGGGGGAGGCACGAGGACCTCGGAGGGCAGAGCTTGAGGTTTGGGTGTGGGAACCCCGGGAAAGAGATACTCTTGTGGCGCCTTCTCCTGGCGCAGCTGAAGGTGACGCAGGCCTGGAGCCACAGTGCAAGGCCAGGGCCTGTGGGCAGGGCGCGTCCCCTCCAGGGGCGGCGGGAGAAATGCGGCTGGGAAGGTTGGGGGTACGCCATGCAGGCTCTGAGGCGCTCCCAGACTGGCTGTCACCTCCGAGGAGAAGCGGCTCTGCCCCTTCTGCCCAGTCACGGGAAAGAGGGGCCGGCCGCGGGGTGGGAGCCCAGGCTCGGCAGCGGGCGAAGGGCGGTGGGCCGGGCACAGCGGCCACCCTCAGGCTGGCAGGGCAGGAAAGGGAAGTGGCTGGGAACAACGACAGCAGCTCTGTTTCCAGGTCTTTATTGGCTGTTAGAATTCTGGCGTATGTACATATGTATACTCCCGCGGTCTCGTCTCGCCAGCTCCAGGCGGCGGCCCGGCCGGGACTGCCGGGCGGGGCACAGCAGAGCCGGGAAGAGCCATCTTTCCTTTCTTCCCTTTTTAAATCTGTTCTTCTTTTTCCTGGGGTGGGATCACCAAAGCTAACTGCTATAAAACCTAGAAACCACCTAGACTCAGACATCCGCCTACACACTAGGGGCACAGGGGGCGGGGGCAGGGGACAAACTTTCAAAGTCACGGTGTATTTACATTCCCGAGGTGCGTGGTGGGGAGGCTGAGGAAAGAACTGTTCAGGGGGCAGGAGTTTGGGGAGACCGAGGGGTCTTGGGGTACAGTGGCAGCTGGGAGAGGCTGGGGCATGGGCAGTGAGGGGTGCTGCCCCATACCCCAGCAGTGATGGAGGCCACTTGGATGTTGTCTGGTGGGTACCAAAGGCAGCGTGTGTGGGGAGCCCCTGATAGCCGGCCACGAGGTGGGTGGCTGCGGGAGGGGTGCAGACTGAGTATGCTGGGGGCTCGGCAGACGGCCTCCTCTGCACCCACGACTGGAGGAAAGCGAGCAGATGAGGGGGACACAGAGTTCTGTCCCAGCCAGGCTGGCCGAGGGGCTGGAGGTAGAGGTGCCACCCCGGTCCTGAGGAGACCCTTTGAGGCCACCCCTACTTCCTGTCCCCCCCACAGCCTCTCTGCGCGGAGGCTTGCGAGGCAGCACCTGAAGGCTCCTGCTGTGTGTGATGGGCCCCCGAGCTGGAGCAAAGCAGTGTGTGCCCAAGAATGGGATACAGCTGGGTTTTGGCAATCAAGTGGGGATCGGGGAGTCAGAAGGGATTCAAGGCAGTGAGGTCCTCTTCTCTGCCCCCGACTCAAGCCCCCCACGGGCCCAGGGCCAGAGGGGAGGCGGAGGCTGGGTGGGGAGGGAGGGCCCCGGTCCCAAGGTCAGGGGGCCGGCACCGGCGGTGTCAGGCTCAGGGGTCCCGGCCTCCCCACCACGGGGCGGCTATTCCAGGGTCCCCGCGGGGTTGGTGGGGGAGGCGGCCCCTGAGCTGTCGTTGCCTCCAGCCGCCCCCTTCTCCTTCTTGCCGCTGTACTGGCCGATGAAGGAGCCATCCTCGTTGAACTGCACGTCCACGCTGCCCCGTAGTCGGCCAGGCTGTCGTCACTGCCCAGGGGCTTGATGTCCCCGTTGAGAGAGGGCTGGCTGCTGCCGAAGGCCTTCTCCTCGTTGTCGCTGCCGGGAGGAGGGGGCGGGCGGGAGGGCGTGAGGAGGGCAAGGGCGGCACTGGCCCGTGGGGAGCCTGGCTGCGGGGAGGGCCCCCACCACCGTCTTGGCAAGCCGGGGTAGCTTGGGGCTTTGGAGGCACCGGGGAAGAGGCTCTCGTCCTTCACCCCACGGCAGGGCAGGCGGCACACAGGTGAGGGCACGGCAGGAGCAAGCAGGCTCCCAGCCTGGGGCTCGGGGGGGCTCCCGGCGCACAGCCGTGTTTGCAAGGGGCGCCTGGCTAGCAGTTGGCCCTGGCTGCGGCCGCGGGCCCGGGCTTCCCTGGGGGCTGGGCGCTGGGACGGTGACAGGCAGGCCCAGCACTGGGTGTCCGTGTGGGGAGAGGGATGGCACGTGTTGGCTTTTCCCTGAAACGGGGCTGCGGGCCGTGCTGGAAAGCAGGAGTGGGCGGGGCCGGGGGTCACGGAGCACTCCCAGGCTTACACTGTCCCCGGGAGGGGCCCCCTGCCTTACCTCTCCAGGGACCTGAGGTCACCCGGCAGCACGAAAGAGAGAAAGACAGGGTCAGAGCAGCCCAGCGGCCGCCGGACGGGGCAGCCCAGCGCGGCCCCCGCCAGCCCGGCTCACCTGTACTCGCCGAAGGTCTCGTCCTTCATGGGTCGGGCCTCGGAGTCCACCTGCGTGTCCTCCTTGTCCTTCACTGCAGACACAGAGGGCAGCTTCCTCTCTGGCCCGGCCTGTCCCTGGCCTCCGGGTCCCAGCCCGGGCAGGGGCACTGGTGGGGCGGTCCTCAGAGCCGAGGGCCCCCACCACCGTCTTGGCAGCACTCAAGAGGCCAGGAAGCCTTCAAGGCTGTAGCCCTCCCTGCCGAGGCGCCCAGCTGCCATCTGTGCCCATTGGCACAGCAGCTCCCTCCCTCCCCTCTCCGACCTGAGCCTTGGCACAAGCCGGGGCAGAGGAGGACTGGGAGAAACAAGAGGTGCCCCGCTCCTCTCTCCCCTGCGATCTCTCGGCCTTGCAGCTGTGCGCCCCGGGGTGGGGGTTACCTGAGTACTTGCCGCCCTTGCTGTGCTTGATAAAGCAGAGGATGAGCAAGATGAGGAGCAAGAGCACCACGGCGCTGACGAAGCTGATGAACCAGGCCTCGGTGGCGAAGCCGGCCGGCCGGAGCAGCACACGGCCTGAGCGGGGAGGCAGGCCGGGCCCGGGGTGAGACGCCTGGCCTCGGACGCCGCCTCCCCCACTCACGGCCCTGCTGACCCCAGGTCCTTGGGCCCCGCACGCAGGGTGATGGCCCGGAGCTGAAGCTCCAGGGACTGACGTGTGGGGGAGCTTTTGAGGGTCAGGGGAAGCCATCTGTGAAAATGACTGCCTGGGAGTAGTTAAAACAGAAAAATGCTAAAAGAGGAATGGCGGGGCCCAGACACCTCCTTCACCGGCCAAGGGCACCCAGTTTATGGGGGCAGGGCGTGCTGTGGGGGGGGGGGGGCGAGCTGTGGGGGGCACGGACTGCTAGCAGGGCACTGCGGGCAGCCTCACCGGTGCCGTTGGTCTTCACCACGAACTCCCGCAGCAGCGCGCTCTCCTTGAGCAGGAGGATGGTGTACTTGGTGTCGGGCTGCAGGTCCCCCTGCGTGTAGGAGCTCTGGCTGTAGCTGACGTCCTGCGGCGCGATGTGAGGGCCCAGCTTCTCGTCTGTGTGGGGGAGGGCGGGGCAGGGGGGAGTGGCTGCAGCACACTGCTCCAGGCACCCCCAGCCCTCCTGGCCCAGGCCCCCCTCACACCAGGGGCCCTACTTGTGCTCACCCTGGAAGGCTTTGAACTTGATCTGGAACCCGAAGTTGCACTGGCCCTCCTTGGGGACCCACGAGACCACGCTATAGTTCTCGCCTGTTGTGACGGAGATGTTGCCAAAATCCGGGGTCCCTGGGAGTGTAGGGAGGGTGTGAGGCCGGGGGCAGCCCAAGGCGCACCCGCCTGGTTCCCCGCAGACCCCCAGCTCACCAGACAAGGCCATGGTGCCGCCCTCCCGCGCGATGGCCTCGCCGGGGCCCTCCTTGGTGGTGGCCTGCAGCTGGAAGCGGTAGCGCAGGCGCGGGCTGAGGTTGGTCAGGTTGTGCGTCCGCAGCTCCGGGTCGGGCAGGTGGAAGGACAGCTGCTGCTCACCCCCGTCGTCCACTGTGGGGCAGGAGGGAGTTGGTTCTGCCTGCCCGCTCTGACCCCCTCGGCCCCCCACTCCGGGCCAGGCAGGTGTGCACGTACGGGGCTGGTAGGTGAGCACGTAGCCGGTGAGCACGCCGTTGTGGCTGCGCGGGGGCAGCCAGTGCAGCAGCAGGCTGGTATCCGACTGGCACTCCAGCTGCAGCGCTTCAGGGCAGCCAGGCACTGTGGGGCACAGACGTGAGCGCTCCAGCCAGGTCCGCCCTGGGGGAGGGGCGCGGGGGAGAGTGGCCTGCCGAGCTCACCTCCCTCTGGGGTGCTGAAGGTCTTCCAGCTGGCGGGCCCCAAGCCCCGGCCGTTAAAGGCTTGCACCTCCAGATAGTAGATGCTGTAGGGCCGAAGGCCTCTGAGGATGGTGCTGGTGGAGTTGGCGGGCACCACCACGTGCTCCTTGTGGACGTGCCTCTTGCTGTGCTTCCTCTGGCTGCTCTGCCACCAGTACGTCACCTGCAGGGGCAGGAGCCTCCACTGGGGCACAAGGCACCAAGTGGCAGCCCCCGCTGCATCTGCCCGCCACCGTGCCCTCCCCGCCAGAGGGCTTCCCCGAGACCTGCCAATGCCGTGGCCCCTGGTCCGTGGGGGTCCCCAGCCCCCACGCCTTGGACCCTTACATTGTACCCCCGGAGATGGCCCTTGACTTGGGCGGGGTCCAGAGGCCGCCACCTGACCAGCACGGCACTGGAGTTGAGGATCTCCACGTCTCCCAGCTCAGGCTTTGCCTGCGGGTCTAGAGGAGCGGGGACGCGGATGAGGGGCGCAACAGCCCGAGGCACCCCAGGACACTCCCGCGCCGGGAAATGGATCCCGGCTACGTGTGGGTGGGTCGATGGGGAGCAGGGCCTTCCCGCTGTCTCAGGGGGCCCTGCGGGGTGTTCATTTGTGGCAGGGAGAAACAGTAACGATGACGCAGAAGGGACAGGGCGACGAAAGGCACATCTGGTGACATTTCCGACCCAAGGGAAGATGCAGGTGGTGAGCCCGGGCAGGAGCACCCACCCTGAGCCGGATCGGCCAGACCCGCAGGCTGGCGCCAAGTTGGAGTGTCTCCTAATGGTGCGCCGGTGGCCGATGGAAGGAGGCACAGGGAGAGAGGTGGGCGCGGGAGGGGAGCAGGCCCGGGGCACCGATACTCACAGTCCTCCCCAGAGTAGCCCACGGTGACGGGGGGCTCCGGGCCCTTGCCCTGGCTATTGACGGCCTGGACCTTGATCTCATAGGGCACGAAGGTGGACGTGTTGGACACAACCAGGAAGGCCTCACTCACAGTCTTCTCCTGCCAGCTCCCCCGCGAGCCCTGAGGGCGCCACTGTACCCGGTACTGAATTTGTGGGGCGTTCCAGTCCATCCACCTGAGTGGCTGGAGGGGGCAGGGAGGATCTGGTGGGCCACAGCTGCCTCCTTCTGTCAGCTGCCCCCAGCTGCCCTCCACCCCCAGCCATGGGGGCCATGCACAGCTGTTGGGAGCAGGGGCGTCGGCGTGCAGCCTGATGTCCAGGGGAGCTCGCCCGGGGCCCCTCACCTTCCAAGTAATGACCATGTTGTCAGTCTCGTTGCCCTCCCCCTTCACATCCACGGGGTTCTTCTCCGGTGCTGGAAAGGCACACATTAGCATGTCAGGGCTGCCAGGCTGGGGAAGGGGTGGCCCATTCTGAGCCCAGAAGCCAGGAGCCAGCAGCCCCAAGGGCACCCGGAACCAGAAGATCCTGGCCACAGTCACTCTCCAGAGCCTCTTGACAGACCCTGGAGTCCCGGCACCTGATGCTCCCCAGTGGCTCACCTGCCTCGGGTGTGACCACAGTCTCAGAGGCAGGACTAGGTTCTCCGGGGCCGTATTTGTTGATGGCGGTAACTCTAAAGGTGTAGTGGACATAGGGTGACAGCTTGAGGATGGTGGACGTCTCGTTCCCAGGCACCTTGCCCAGACTGTGCAGCTTCTCAGGGGCCATTTCCTTGTCTTCAAATTCAATGTCATACTCTGCCAAGAAGAGAGGCAGCCGTGGAGTACGCAGCGTGGGCCGCGTGGGGGCAGTAGTGGGGGGACAGTTGTGGCTCTCCCTGAGGACAGAGGGAGGGAGGGCCCAGGCAACTAACTGGCTTCCTCAGATGCCCATGAGTCCCCACGCCCAGGCGCATGGTTCGGCGAGGGCCGCCAGAGGGGAAAGCATGGGAGCTGCTAGCTGGGGTGGCAGTGGGGGTGGCACGCTCAGGCCTCTTACTCTCGATGGGGGCGTTGTGGTCATCGGCGGGACTCCAGGACAGGCGCACCTGGTTCTGCCTCAGCAGGTGACGATCAGACAGCTCCAGACGGGGCACCGGCCCGGGGCTCCCTGAGGGTCACAAAGGGTGGGTGCTCCAGCCCACTTCAAAGCCAGCCGCCGCTCCCAACTTGCAAGGGCCAGGCAGTGTGAGCCGGGGCTCCCGTGCCTGCGGCACCCCCATGCCCTCCAGCACAAGCCCCATGCCGCCCCAAGACTCACCCACCACCAGGAGCTCGGCCCTGCTCTCCACTGTGTCCAGCTGGGTGCTGGCCACGCAGCTGTAATTGCCCTGGTCACTGTAGTCCAGACTGTGGATGACCAGGCGCCCATCCTCTATGAAGTACCTGGGGAGCGGGAGTACGCTTGTCCTGTTGCCGCTGACCCACCCCCTCCTGCCCTCTCCTGCCAGAAACTTCCCCCTCCAAGGCAGGTTGCTCCCCACGACGAGTACAAGGCCGGCACCTGCTCTTCCCGCCCCCCACGCCATTCGCCCTGAGTGCATTGGGGCTGGGGCCGCACTTGTCACTGTCCCCCAGCTCCTGGAGGGCTCGGCCATCCCCACGCCAGGTGATGCGGTGCTGCAGGGAGGGGTCAAAGGAGGCCTGGCACGTGAATGTCACCCTTGAACCTTTCTTCTCGATGGCGCTCCGGGGCCCCTGTGTGATCCGAGTGGCATCTGTGGGTAATGATGGGACGGGAGGGTCACCCCAGTGTCATCCAGAAAACCTAACCTTCCCCCCACAGGTGTCACTTCTCTCACAGCAACAGAAGTGCCTGACCTTTGACCTGCAGGTTAGCCGCAATGGTCACGTTGTTTTGGTCGTTGGCAGCCTGGCAGAAGTAGTGTCCGGTGTCGTTGGCCTGGAGGTCACGGATGCCCAGGGTCCCGTTGGTGTAGGGGAAGAAGCGCTCATCCTGCAGCACCGTCTTGCCGTCCTTGTCCAGCCTGCGGAGCGGGACCCAGCTGGCTCAGACTCCACCTGGGACGGGCCCCTCTGCCGTCCCTGGCTCTCAGGGCCCGGAGGTGCATAGAGGCGCCCCAGCAGGGAGCGGGCACTCACCACTGGACACTGGGCACGGGGGCTCCGAAGGCCTTGCACAGAAGGTAGGCAGTACTGCCCTCCACTGCCAGGTACGTCTCATTGTCTGGGGTCAAGATTTTGGTCGGCAGCTCTGGGGAGTGGGCACGGGAGATGGGGCAGGACTCAGGCCCGGCAGGGGCACAGCTGTGAGGGGTGGACGCAGGGCAGCGCTCCCAGGAGGGCTCGTGGCCTTTGGAAGTGCAGTGACGGCAGCGGGCACGCCCAGGCCCAGGCCCGTCTCACGACTCTGCTCCGCTCTGACCCCAGGCTGAGCCGCCAGATGTGCCTCCCGGCCCGGCCCCCCTTGAGGCCTCACGACCAGTTGAGCCCGCTGACACTCTACCTCCTCCCGAGAGCCCCCTGGCCCAGCCCCATGGGCCCGGGGTTCCAGGCCGCGGGCGGCTTCTGCACCTGTAAATGACACCGGGCCCGCTCCCCTTCCATCGCGACCCCACCCCGGCGCTGGGAGGATGGGCGAGAGGGGCGGGCCCCGGCGCGGAGGAAGGCGGCTGTGGTAAGAAACTCCGCTGCTGGCTGAGTCAGGCTGGTGGCCTTGCCCGGAGGGCCCGGGGGTGGGGCGGGTGCCCAGGGCTGACACTCACGGACGACGTAGATGTAGGCATTGGCCAGCAGGACGCCATGCCGGTTTCGGGCTTCGCACTGGGTCACCATCGTGTCGCTGGGCTGCACGTTGCTCAGGACCAGGGATCCGGGCTGAATCCGGTATTTCTGGTCCGTGGTCAGTTCTGTGTGTGCGGCAGGCGGGCCCCGAGAGCCGGAGGCAGGGCTGAGCCCCCGCCTGGCCCCCTCTCCCTCTCCCGGGCCCCGACTCAGCGCACCCTGCGCCCGCCCCGCCCGCAGCGGCTCACCCTGCACAGGGATCCCATTGATTCTCCAGGTGACCTCGGGCTGGGGCCTGCCCTGCACCTGGCAGTCCAGGCGGGCCGTCTCCCCGGGCCCGTACAAACGGCTCTGGGGCTTGCGCAGCCAGTACGGAGCAGCTGCAAGAGGGGACAGCCGGCCTGAGCCCCGCCTGCGGTCTGCTCCGGCCCTGCTGCAGGTCCCCCCCCCCCGCCCGCCGCATGACGGTGGGCATCGCGGTCCACCGGCCGGGGCCCTGCTGGGAGCCTGCGGCAGCGGGTGGCAGCCGTGCCCGACAGAGGCGCCCTACCCTCCACGGTGACGTCGTAGGCGTGGCGGGCACTGCCCAGCGCGTTCTCGGCCAGGCACAGGTACTCGCCGTAGTCCTCCTCGCCCACGTTCAGCAGGTGCAGCGTCTTGTTGTGGTTCTGGTACGTGACCCGGTCCGCCGGCATGGGGACGCTCAGGCGCAGCCACTTGATGGTGGGCGTGGGGCTGCCCGGAGCCACGGTCCAGGGAGACGAAGGGAGGGAGCAGGGAGCAGAGGGGAGGGGGACAAGGGCCTCAGCTGAGCCCGGCCGGCGGCTGACCACCTCCCCGCACCCCGCAGCCGGCACGCAGACTCACAAGCCCTCGGCGATGCACTCCAGGACCAGGGGCTGCCCCTGCAGGGCCACCAGGTGGCTGCTGGCGTTGGTGGGGAAGAGCAGGCGCGGCTTCCGGTCGATCATGCTGTTGGCTGGGAGGAGAAGGGGGTGGGGCGCGGCCCACCCCTCCCCGCCCCAGCGGGCGCCCGGGCTGGGGATCTCCGCAGAGCCCGCAGTGTGCCAGTGTGCCCCGGGCCTCCGCTCACTCGCAGGGAGTGCCCCTCTCTGTTGTCATCACCGGGGAAGGGGGGGTGGGGGGGGAGCCGGGGGTGTCTGCTGGAAGCAGGCCCAGCTGGCGGGCGGAGAGGCGCCGGGAGGGTGTCCGTGGGAGCCTTTTGGACTCACTGGCCTTGACCCGGAGGTCAATGGGCTCCTTCTGAATGATGGTCCGGGTGCCCGGGAAGTGGGCGTGGCAGATGTAGTCCGAGTGGTTGTCCGAGGTGAGCACGTTGGCAAAGTAGAGGTTGCCGTTCTGGCCCATAGTCACCCGCTCATCCTGCTTGATGTGTAAGATCTCTGCGGGAGCAGGAGGCACAGGTCAGGGCCCGTCCTGGAGACATGCGCACTGGGCCCCGCCCCAGGCAGCGGCCCCCGTGGCACCCACTGCTATTCATCCAGTAGATCCGCAGCGGCTCAGCACTGGGTGGGGGGTGGCAGGGCAGAATCACCGACTCCCCTTCCTCTACCTCCACGGGTTTCACGGTCTCCTTTGGCCACTTGGGGGCACCTAGACGGGACAGAGGCTGTCAGCGGGTCCCGACCCCCCCAAGTCGAGGCGGTGCAGGGCAGAGGGAAGGAGGTCCGAGGACTTCCCGGGGGTGGCCGAGGGGGTGAGAGGAGCAGGCTGGCAGGAAATTCACATCAAGGTCCTCTCGGCCCCAGCTGGAGATGGGGGCCCACGAGGAGGAGAGCGTGGCGGAGGCCGGCAGTCCCCGCTCCCTGCGGCCCTCAGCGCCCACCCTCAGGACATGCGGGGACGGGCGGGTGAGGCCAGGTGCGGTGACGGGGGAGGGGAGCTGTGCAGGGATGCAGGAGTCACAGGCCCTTCCATCATCCTGGCATGGAAACCATGGCGATGGTCCCCAAGGTAACCAGAGGGCGGCAGCTCAGGGAGACGGCGGCAGAGGGAAACCCCAGGGAAGCGCCACCCAGACCAGCGCAGAGTGCCAGGGCGGCAAGGAGGCGGGATGCCAGGTCAGTGGCAAGGGGAGAGATGAGGACAGACGGCGCCAGTCGAGGAGAGAGGAGACAGATCGACGCGGAGACAGAGAGAGGACAGAAGGGGTGGCAAAGGGCGCGGAGCATGGAGATGGAGACAGGACAGAAGCCAGAGGCCAGGCAACGGGTCAGACAGACGGGCCGGCTGGGTGGGGCACACGGAGCAGGCGTGACGGGGATCTCCGGCCAGAAGCCGAGCGCCGCCCCAAGAGAGGGAGAAGACAGGGCGGGGTGGCAGGAAGCCGCTGGGGAACTGGGCAGAGGGGCGTTGAGGCTGGCAGCGCACCCAGCCCCCGTGGCCACACAACCTCCCGCCGAGGCACCGGGCCTCCCAGCGCCAGCCCAGCTCCCGAGACTTGCTCCGGGGCTCCCGGGCCCCGGGCCCCTCGGCGCCTCGCACCCTCAGCCATGAGCTGGATCTCATGGGACATGGCAGTGCCCAGGTCGTTGCTGGCAAAGCAGCGATAGGTGCCCTGGAACCTCTGGGCAAAGTTGCTGTTGTTGCCGGTGATGGTGAAGGAGCCGGAGTGAGGCGCCTGGTGCACGGTGACGCCCAGCTCCTCGCTGGGCAGGAAGTGGACGCCGTCCCGAGTCCAGCGGAACCTGTGGGCGGAGAACGGCTCAGCGGCCTGCGGTCCTGGAACCCAGGGCAGGGACGGCAGAGACCAGGAGCAAGTGTTCGAGGGGCCGGGGCCCCTAGGGCAGGCTGGCACACGGCAGGACCCGCCGAGACCCAGAGCTGACAGCAAGGCTCAGGGCACAGGGTGAGGGGCCACTCACTGCACTTCGGGTTTGCCGCTGGCCTCGCACTTGAGGCTGATGTCATCTGTGGGGAAGACAACCAGGCGCCGTGGAGACTGTTCCGTGATGACGGGCGGCTCCATCACTGTGACGGGAGTAGCGGGCCGGTGAGGACAGCGTCCCGCCAGCCTCACGGCCTTGACCCCGTCCCATCATGGGGGACGCAGGGTCTGGAGCCCTTAGAGGACCCACAGCCATGGGGGAGGGGGAGGGCCTAGGCCCGTGGGTAGAGGGAGGGCAAAAGGGATGCAGCAGGCGCCCAGGCAGGACGGCGAGAAGGCCGCGACAACAGTGACAAGAGACGCGTCGGAGCCAAAGAGCGTGAAAGGGAGCAGAGAGCCAAAGCCACCCCTGCCAGACAGCCCCAGAAAGAAAGGGTGTAGGGAGGCCGCCCCGCTTTCCCTCTCTCCTGGCCTTCTGGGAAATGCTCCCATCCTCCCAACTTACCGTGGTGCCCTTCATCTGGGGGTCCAGCAGCGTGGGGGAGGGGAAAGAAATGCTGAGCCAAAAGCCCCAGAGGGGCCAATGCGGATGGGGCACGTGCCGCGCCTGGGTCACAGGGCTCAGGGCCAGGCGATGCTGGGTACAGCCCGAGCAGACCGGGGAGAAAGTCTTGCCTTTCACGAGGCGCGTCCTTTGGACAGACCCTTCGCTCTCCGGGCAGAGCCTGCAGAAGCGACTCTATCCCACATGCCCCACCCGCAGTCTCTCGCAGCCTCCCAGGCAGCCCGCGCGCCCCCCTGCTCCAGCCCACTTCCCTGCTAATCCAATTAGCGCAGCCCAGTGTTTTCGATGACCAGGCTCGGCCTGCGGAGCCCCGCTGCCCCTCCGCGCCCTCCCTGAGGAGCATCTGAGTTTCCGCTGCCTGCAGGGCTCACGCCTGCCCTCTTTTTTTTTTTTTTTGGTCTTTTTTTCCTCTCCTTCCTTCCTCCCAGCCCGCTACCAAGCTCCGGGAGGCAGAGGCCAGAGCAACTGCCCCCACCCAGGACTCAGCCAGCACCCTGGTCGCGAAGAGAGGACCTAGGAGAAGAGGGGAAGGGAGGAGTGACTGCTTCTGGAAGCTTTGTCTCCACCAAAGACCCCAGTGTAAGGCCCCCAGGAGAGGGGGGTGCTCCCTGGGGACACTGCAAGGAGCCCTGAGTTGGGGAGGGGCCAGAACAGGCAGCCCAAGAGCAAGAGACAAGGACTGGGATGACAGAATGGGGAAAAGCTGGGTGGAGGAAGCAGGAGAAGGCACAAAGGGATCTGGAGTGGCTGGGTAGGGAGAGGGCTCAGACCGGCGGGCAGCTCCCACCACGGCGGGGCCAGGCCACCACGGTAAGGCCTCCGGTGCAAAGCACACAGTGGGGCTGCTCAGTAACCTTCTTCTCTCCTCGCTCCCTTCTCCAAATTCTCCCTGTCCCTCCACACAGATGCAGCAGTCAGATGGCCCGGCCCACGTGCGAGCAGGGCAGGCCAATGCCCAGGCTGAGACCTGAAGGCAACCGAGCGTGGAAGGGAGGAGGATGAATGTGTGGCTGTGAATGTGCAGAGGCAGGAGGCGGCAGTGGAAGGGTGGATGGCCCAGGGCATAATGCAGTGTATCTGTGAGTGTCTAGCAGGTGTTTGTACTGCGGGTGTGTCTTTGGGGAGTGCCGATGAGGGCTGTGTGTTTAAGTGTGTGCCTCCATTCAGTGTACAATTTTGTGCTTTATACCCACCTATGGGTCTGTGCGGATGACTGCCTTTGCGTCCCAACCCCTCGTGGGTGTGTGTCTCCTGTATGTCCTCGTGGGGTGTTGGTCCCTTCCTATCTCTGTGCCAGGAAGGGGTACAGGTATCTGGCTCACCTGTGTCTACCCAGGTGCATATCTGTGTGCATCTGTAGCTGGGGGAATCGGTGTGACGGTGCGTGACTAAAGGGGCATTTCCCCACCTTTGTCACCTCAGCCCCTCTCCACCTTCTCAAACCCCTACCCTACAATGCCAGCTGCCTTTGAAGACCACTTCCCTCCACCCCTGGCATTGACAGTTTTCCCATCACTGTCTCCACCAATGTCTACTGACACTGGCCTCCTCCAAGTCCAGAGGAGATGGCGAGGTGGCAAGATGAGGGGGAAGGAGCCCCTGAGGAGCAGGTCAGGTTCACAAATGCCCTCACACACTCAACGACGAAATGTCCCTTCACACAAACCCCTTCCTTACACAGGCATTCAGTGTGTTCACATCTTCTGCTCACATTCAGGAGAAAACATCATCACAGTACACACAGCACACACACAGACAGGTGCTCACAAGCACACACTCACTGCAATCAAATGTGAACAGATACCACAGAGCTTCGCAAAGCTGACCAATGAGTAACAGTTATAGTGACTCACAAACATACCATACAGGAAATCAAAATCGGCCTAATGACACACCCACAGACAAATACACAGTCTGCCCAGATCGCAAGCACACACATACTCGTGTTTACTCACAAAGCTCCAGCAACACTCCCCAACACCCACATACCTCCCCATGACCTCCCACAAACAGAATGCTCTAGCAGCCCCAGCCCCCAGCCCCACCAAATAACTACTCATCAAATCATAAGGTGCCAGAAGGCTCCTGCATCTTTTCCTATCCCAGTCCATTGCAAAGCTACTGAGGGCCCAAAATAGGATTAACCAGATCAGCAGCAGGGCCAAGACTTGACTCCAGGCCTTCTCACAAGCCAGCTGAGGACAGGGAAGGCCCACCCCACCACACCCTTGCGGGAAGAGGACGGGAGGGACAGGGCAAGGGAAAACAGCGAGGAGGCTGGGCCAGCGCCCTGTCCGCTGTCCTTGGTGCTGAAACCTCCCCGTCCCGCCTGCGCGCCTGTTCTCTGTCCTTGGTGCTGACACACCTCGCAGTTTCCACCCTCTCCTTTCCAGAAGTACACGACGCCCTGGGTACCTTCTGCCCACTCCGTGCCCAGGAAAGGAGGGATGAGGGTGTAGAGCTGGGAGGTGAGGAGGCAGAAGATAAAGGGGGCTCCAGTGTGAAGGCAAAGGGAGGCACGAGTATCCTTCCAGCTACTCACATTCTTCCGGGATCTGGATGAGCAGGCAAGGACTGCAAAGGAGGAGAGGCCACAGGTACCGCAGCGCCACAGCCATCTTCCAGGCGGCGCCGGCAGCTCAGCTGGGCACAGCTGGCCGGGGACTCAGGATCCAGCCAGAAGGAAGGGGGCCGATGGGAGGCTTCGGGTGGGAGCTGGGGGTGGAGGCACTGGGAGAAGGAAGGGAAAGGAAGGGTGGAGGACGAGAGAGGGAGAGAGCGGATGGACGTTAGTGACTAACATCTGGGTGAGCCCAGGCTCCCGGCCCCGCCCCTAGCCCCGCCCCTGACTATCTGACTACACCATTCCTCCCACCCCCCCCCCACCTTGGACTACCTAGAGGGAGAAATCTGGAAGACACTTAGCCCCAGCTGGCCTTCAGGTTGCCTCTCATTGTCTTCCTGCTCTGTCTGCGTTTTCCCCACCAGCTGCCCCTCCAGCACCAACTTGTTGCCCCCATCAGCTCCCCTGGGTATGCCACAGACTGCTCCATACATGCTGTCCCCATGTGCGCCAGCAAGCAGGTGCCTGTGGCATATGAGTGTGGATGTGGATCTGTAAGCAGCCAAAAGGCACATCATGTTTATGTGGTATTCATGTGGCTGTGTGTGTGCAAGCAAGGGCACATCTGTATGTGTCTTTTCAGGAAGGGGTACACTCCCAAGTGGCTGTGTATCTGAAGGAATCAGTACCCAGGTCTGCTAGCAATCTGCACACAAAGGTGTGCTGTGTTTTCTTGTATATCTGTTTCTGTGGGAGGTGAATGTTCATGTGTGCTATCTGCGTGCACACAAGCATGCACACACACGGAGAGAAATCTTGTTGCAGCGTCATTACTATAGGTTCTAAAGCCAACTGATTGCTGGTGCTGTTCAGGCCTAAGAAGCTGGTGGGGGCTTGGCAAGTGGGGACAAGGAAGAGAGGAAAGGGTCTCAAGAAGGTTGCTTTTCACAGAACAGGTTCAGGAAAAGCAAGAAAAAAGGGGGGGGGGAGCTTCCCTTCAAGAAGTGGCAGGAGGGGCCTCCCTGGTGGCACAAGGGGTTAAGACGCAGCACTGTGAGGCTGTCCACAGCCTCTGCAGCATGAGTTCGATCCCCTGCCAGGGAGCTACCCACATGGCACAGCAGACCTCTCCTGACCCCCCGCTGCTCCCCTCAGCAGTGGATTTCAACCTGCCTGTTCTGTTCCCCGCTCTGTCTCTGGTGAATCCTCTCACCCCCACACACACCTCTGCCCTGTACCCCAGTTCTTGTATGCATAAAATAAAGAAATTTTTTTTTTAAATTAGTGGCAGGGCCTCCCCGGTGGTGCAGCGGTTGAGTGCCACGCTGCGAAGCTGTCCGCAGCCTCTGCAGCACCAGTTCGATTCCCCACCAGCCAGGGAGATTCCCACATAGCAGGACAGACCTCTCCTGCCTCGCCCGCTGCTCCCCTCAGCAATGTCTTTGGTCCATCTGCCTGCTCTGCTCCCCGCTCTGACTCTGGTGAATTCTCTCACCCTCCTGGGCTTCTGACTCTACCCAGTGCTTGTATAAATAAATAAATAAATAAATAAATAAATAAATAAATAAATAAATCAATCTTTAAAAAAAAAAAATAAAGAAGTGGCAGGAGGGAGGAAAGCACCCGTCTTTTGCCCCTCAGATTCCCAACGGTTAGTAGTGGTGACAGTGGCCTTCCCCTTGCAGACATTCCAGGCCGGTGTCAGGGCAGGGGTGCGGCAAGCTCTGGGACAGTGTTTCTGACACCTCAAGTGTCTGGGAAATTTAATTTCTGGTTCTTGTTCTGAGTCTTCAGAACCCAACTGCTACATATGTCCAGCTCAAGCCCAAGTAATTCCAGCCATGCTACATTCAAGGAGCTCTAAGAGCTGGGGGCCCAGGAGAGGGCAGCGTCTGTGCCAATGGTTAGAAAAGGAATACTCTCAAGAAGCCACGTTGAGTTGAAAAAGGAGGGGGTGAGGGCAGTGGTGAAAGTGCAGGCGCGCTGTTGGGTGACTGAGCGTGGACGCTGCAGTCTGGATGCTCTCACCAAATCCATATTGAGCATGGGCCCTACAGCCAGTCAGGGCACTTTGACAAAGGGGGGGCAAGCCTCACCCAGACATGGAAGGAGGGGGGAATGCCATGGTCAGCAGGCAAGCGGAAGCCATGCACTGGTTTTGTGTGAGGAGGTGACCCAACAAGAGTGGCAAATACGGCAGACTGCCTGGGACTGGGCAGAAGATGGATGGTGCAAAGAGCAATCTTCGTAGGGCACTCAGACTCCCCCACCCGAAGCCGGAGAGGGAAGGGGAGCGCACTGGGGTGGGTCGATAAGGATGGGTTGAAAGCAGAATGACTTAGAGAGTCGGCAGAGGCGAACACACACGGTCCCTTCCCAGCTTCCCAGAGCGGTGCTGGGGCCCAGAACAGAGGAAAACAGCCGACCTGTCCTGCCCACCGCTCCCCACAAAGCCGTGTAAGCAGGGCGGCCGCGGGCGGCCCTGGCCTCAACTTCAAGGCCTGTAGGAAGCAGTTGGAGACTCAGATCAGAGGGCAGGCGATCAAACAGCAGCCTCGGGAGCTCTGAGTCCTCGGGTGGAGGGAGGGGGAGGGGAGGAAAGAGCAAGCCGGCAAGAAGTGGGAGGACGCCCTGCGTGCCAGGAGCCCGAGTGCTGCTTGCTGTGCCAGCGCCTCCATTTGTTCTGCACATCTAAGTGCCCTGAATGGCGTCAGCAGGTCTACCCCGGGTGTATAAGACACCCCCGACCCTTGGTCCCCATTCTCTGCCCTATCCCTGTCCTGTTCTGGTCTCACATCCAAGCTCACCCAGTCTCTTGGTATTTGCCACCCGGTTCTCCACCTTCCAGGGCATTCGGAGACAGAAAGTTGAGAAGCATTGACAGCTGGGAGGGACTTGCTGTAGCCCCCCCCCCCCAAGCTGCCGGGTCTCTGATCTCTCACCATTCCTCAGGCAATTATGGAGCAAGCAGCTCAGGTTGTCAGCACAGCAGGCCCCCACCCCCCACCAGCACCTCCAGGGGAAAGCGGTCCACAAGCTGGTGTGCAGATGGAGCCAAGGCCTTGTCTGTGGGGGGGGGGCCGGGAAGACTGAAGGGTGACAGACAGGGCGAGAAGAGGCAGGAGGGAGCAGGAGAAGCTGGGATGTGGGTCTGGGGGAGGGAGGGCAGGGAACAGAGACAAAGACGATAAGACGATGCTGGAGCCCCTGTAAACGAGAGGGAGCCTGTCAGGGAGCAGAGAAACCCAGGCCCAGGCCGGTGGCAAAGGAGTACAAAGGGTGAGAGCGCAGAGCACCCACGAGAAATGGCTGCAAGAAAGAGTGAGAGACACACGCGCATTTGCGTGTGTGAGTGTGTGTGTACAAGCACGCAGCCCTGGCGGCGCTGCATTGATGTCCTTGTCCCTGGGGGGTGCGCCAGGCTGGGGAAGGGGAAGGAGAGACGGGCCTGAGTCGGCGGAGGTCAGCCTCGGCCGCCCCGACAAGTGACAGGTCCTGGCCACTTGTGGCGCCGGTGCGGAGAGGGGCTGAGACAAGACGAATGAGTCACTACGGGCCCATTCTCTGGGAGCAGGTGGGGCTACCACAGGGGAGGTGAAAGAGGACCCCAGCAGGCACCCAAGATTGCTGCTAGCTCAGAGCAGTCGTCTGACCGGGAGGGGCGCACTTGGCTACAGGCAGAACAGTGAGTGCACGCCCACCGCTGCACACCGCTGCACAGCGCTCATGGGGCGGGCAAAACAATGGTGGGCCAGCCCTGGGCCGGCAGCCTGGACCCACTCCTGCCCTGGGACCTCACAACCGCACTGGGAAGGCGCTGAGGGGCCCCAGGGCAGGCCCGACACGCCTGCAAGGAGAGGCTAGAGAGGCCACAGGAGAGCCCCGCTCAGGGAAGCCCCACTTGCCCCTGGGGCCCCAAGGTGGTCTCCTCTGGCCCATGGCGGGGAGGGACCTGGGAGACTGTGGCCCTGGCTGAGACAGGCTGCTTTCCTCCCTGAAAGCGCACACACACACCCCAGCCTGGGACTCTCGTACAGCACCTGCTCGCTGCACCCCAAGGCCCAGATCCAGGGCCTACCCGCAGTCCTCTCCACTCCGACCCCACGGGTGGAAATGCCTGACGGGGAGGAGCACCAAGAGGGCCCTCCATCAGGTGTCCTCTGAGAGTGGCCAGGCCCCAGGCCCTGGCAGGCCTGAATGGGGTCAGGCTGGGGGCTCAGCACCCATGTAGGATGGACAGACTGGGGGCTGGAGAGCGGAGGGGGTCCCCCTGCCTGGGTTGCCGCGTGTCTGTGAGGGTGTGAATGTCACCTACACCCCAAGCACTGTGTTCCTTTAAGCTCCTCCTCCCCTCCCCCCAAGGCTGTGGCTGGCGGGTTTCCATGGAGACGGAGGCCCGCTCCCTCCCCTGGCAGATAGGGGGAAGCCGAGAGGAAAAGCTTGCCAAGCTAATGGCTTCTTTCGATAATACATAAAGGAGGTTGCTGGGTGGGTGCCCCCACAGGGACCTGGGGGCCCCCGGAAGCCTTACAGGACACGCTGCTTTGTCTGCTGTGCCCTCCCACCTCGCCTTACCCCTCCCTAAGGGGGCCCCCTAGAGTGCGCCCTCAGCCCCCTGAAGATTGCGGTCTCCAAGGCAACGACAGCTCACCTGTAATGGACCATTCTCCAGAAAGGATGAGGAAGGGGCGGGACTAGGTTAACCCTTTGCTGAAGGGAGGGTTTTGCCAGCAGACAGTTTTGCCAGTCAGCTGCCCACTCCCTGCCCGCCCCTCCGGCCCGCCCCCGCCGAGCGCACACACCGACTCCAGTCAGTCTGCAGATGACCCGGGCGAGGGAAGTGCTCCCTTTAGCCCGTGTTACAGGTGAGGAAACAGGTTCGAGGAGCTGGGACACCACGTCACAGAGTCGGCTCTGGATGGGTACAGGCTCCCGCGGCCCCTGACCACGCTGGGGGCAGCTGGACTCTCAGGGACCAGAGCGCCCACGCATGTGGCCTGCTCGCTCCCCGGGCGTGGTCAGAGGTCTGGGCCAGGATGCGCTCCAAGCCTTCCTGCCCCTGGGGAAAGGCCTATTTGCTGGGCAGATG